GTGTAATTGTTCATATCCCAGTGCGTTTTAGATGTAACTTCCACATATCAGGGAGATATGCCTTGGATCTCTCAGAGCTTGGCTTACCTCAGTTAACATGATTTGTTCAAGGCCCATTCACTTCCCTGAAAATGACATTATTTTATTCTTTCTAATGTCTGTGTAAAATTCCATTGTATATAGGTACCACATTGTTTGGATCCACTCATCTTTACGGCATCTGTGTGTTTCCATATTGTGGCTATTGTGAACAGTGCAGCAACGAACATGGGTGTGCAGGTGTCCTTATCATATCCTGGCTCATGATGGTCAGGTAGATGCCCAAAAGTAGTATGTCTGGATTGTAGGGAAGGTCTGTGTTTAGTTTTTTGAGGAACCTCCAGACTGCTGTTCAGAGTGGTTGTGTTAGTTTATGTTCCCACCAGCAGTGCAGTAGGGTTCCTTTTCCCCCACATCCCAATTCACAATTTTAGCCAATCTAACAGGGGTGAAATGGAATCTCAGAGTTATTTTGATTTGCATTTCCTTTACGTCTAGGGATGGTGAGCATTTCTTCAGGTGTTCCTTTGCCATTCTTCCCTCTTCTTCTGAGGAGTCTCTCCTTAGCTCCCTTGCCCATTTAGTGGCTTGTTTATTAGGTTTGGGAAAGTTAGTTTCTTAAGCTCCTTGTGTATATTTAATATTAGGCCTTTGTTTGATATATTGCTGGTAAAGATCTTCTGCCAGTCTATTGACTGTTTATAATTTAGTAACTATGTTCTTAGCTGTGCAGAAACTTTTTATTTTGATGTAGTCTCACTTGTTGAGTCTCTCTCCAGTCTGCTGTGCCCCTGAGACTCTGTTCAGGAAGTTCCTGCCTGTGCCCATAAGTTCTCATGTCTTTCCTACTCTCTCTTGCAGCAGTTTCAGATTTTTGGGTGTGATGTTGAAGTCTTTGATCCACTTTGAACTGATATTAGTATGTGGTGACAAGCAGGGATCCACTTTTAGTTTTCTGCATATGGCTACCCAGTTTTCCCATCAGTTGTAAGAGGCTATGTTTTTTCCCACTGTATGTTGTTGGTTTCTTTGTCAAATATCAGATGGCTGTTTATATCTGGTTTTATTTCTGGGTCTTCTAATCTGTTCCATTGATCTTCAGGTCTGTTTTTGTGACAATACCAAGCTGTTTTTGTTATTATGGCTCTGTAGTAGATTTTGAAATCTGGTATTGTGATACCACCTGCATTGTTGTTTGTTTGTTTGTTTTTGCCTAGAATTGCTTTGGCTATTGTAGGTCTTTTGTTGTTCCATATGAATTTTTGGATTGTTTTCTCTATCTCAGTAAAAACTGTCATTGGGATTTTGATGGGGAGTACATTGAATTTGTATATCATTTTTGGCAGCATGGCCATTTTCACAATATTGATTCTACCTGTCCATGAACATGGAAGGTCTTTCCATTTCCTGGTGTTCTCATTGGAATTGTATAGTTTTCGCTATGAAGATTGTTTACATCTTTGGTTAGGTTGATTCCTAGGAATTTTTTTTGAGGCTATTGCAAATGGAACTGTTGTTCTGCCTTAATTTTCTTTTGGTAAAGGGCCCCTCTTGATGGGGTCTTCACCAAGACTCACTAGCATTGGCAGATTGCTGCCTTGCCTGCCAGGGGAGGGAGGGACGAAGATTGCTAATCTAAGCTAGTCCATCAGAATTTATCCCGAGTAATCACAGGTGGGAAGCTAGCAGAGGCAACTTACCAGGAGAATGGTGGAGGCCAAAAGAGGGGGTCATCTGTCTGTCACCCACGCTGCCTCGCCCACGGAGCAACGGCTAAGCATGTCGGCATTTCCTTCAGATCTACAAGCCACTTGTTAGTAGTAACAGCAACAGAATAGCAGCAGTTGTTGTAGCTACCCCAAATCTTGTTGCTGCTTTCCATAAAAATATTCTGGCAAAGTCACTGCTCTTCCTCTCTTGGAAGTTCAAATGCTTAGTGTATGCCTCCTTTTAGCAGATGAAAGCTTGTTCCTGAAACTTTCTACACATTCTTCTTGTTCTTAATCTCTGCCTCCAGGAATTAAGAGTCTATCTACCCTCTGCTTCTGCAAAGGGGGAAAAAGCCTGAAACATCGGCGACAAGCTCAGGTCTCTTGGCTGGCTTCTGACTTTCTGAGTGGACACTCTTTGATCCTGGGGTTTCCCATGATGGAGAAGGGACAGAGCTATTTCCTGGGAGTGTCAAATTAACTAACCATAGGAAACTTGTTTCCCTAATTTGTCACAATAGTGGTAAGAACAAGAGTAATTTGTCTATAGATTCTAAAAAGACATTTTAATGAAATTTACTTTTCATTCTTGAGATAAAACCAGAATCAGAAAACTAAGAGAATACATGGGTTCTTTTTTAATACTATAACTTACAGTACCAAATATCTGTCTCAATGACAAAAGCCAACATTATGCTTATTAAAGAAATTGAACAAAATGTGTAAACTTTGGAAAGTGAAAGAGACATGTCCTATATGATTTATAACATTTACTGAACTATCTTGGTTTGGCCATAAAGTTTTACATCAAAAAGGAAAGGATGAAATCAGTGTTCTTGGGGTTTTTTGGTCTTTGTTTTTTTATTCTTTGCCATTCCTGGGCTTGAGCTCAGTGCCTGGGCTCTGTCCCTGAGCCGCTCTGTGTTCAAGCCTAGCACTCTACCACTTGAGTCACAGCACCACTTCCAGCTTTTTCTGTGTATGTGGTACTGAGGAATTGAATCCAGGGCTTCATGCATGCTAGGTAAGCACTCAGCCACTAAGCCACATTCCCAGCCCAAATCAGTGTTCTTGGAATCATCACTTTTATGTGGAAGCTTAGGAAATTCTTGATAACAAAATAAGCCTTGATAGGTAAAATGCACACACCTCAGAAAGGCAGCAAGAACCACAGAACTCCTAGAAAACCCAGTAGGTGATCTAGATACTTACCATAAGGAAGAAAACTTGAGCTAAGCAAGTGCTTACAAAATACAATGGATTTGCTACATGAGTAATAGCTAATTTAAAGGGGTAAACCACAATGTGTTTGTTAACAAGAACAAAACAAGACAAGATACAAAAGTAAGCACCTCAAAACACTTTGTAAGTTGGGGCTGGGAAGGTGGCTCAGTGGTAGAGTGCTTGCCTAACATGCATGAGGCCCTGGGTTCGATTCCTTAGCACCACATAAGCAGAAAAAGCCAGAAGTGGTGCTGTGACTCAAGTGGTAGAGCGCTAGCGTTGAGCTGAGGAGCTGAGAGACAGCGCCCAGGCTCAGAGTTCAGACCTCATGATTGGCAAAAAGAAAAAAGAAAAGAAAAGAAAGAAAAAAAATGAACAGAAAAAGAAAGGAAAAAGAAAAAAAACTTTGTAGGACTTGAATAAACAAAGTGACAAAAGTATAATTACAAAAGAAATGACAAACAGATCAAACAGAAAACACAGCCTTGCAACTGAACTTCATGTATACAGAGCAATTATCTAGGAAATGAGTTATTCTGTGAGTGTGTGTGTGTGTGTGTGTGTGTGTGTGTGTGTGTGTGTGAACTTGAACCCAGAACCATGCACCTACTAGGCAAATTCTCTATTGCTGAGATCGACCCCCCAACCCTGGAAATTAAATGTCTAATACATAGTAGTAAGCAGCAAAACACAGTAGCTACTTGGAAGAAAATAGACATTTTAATTTACTTCTCTAAAAACAGATTAAAACACTATATTGACTGGTTAAGGTGACTTTCTAAAATGACAAATAATGGAATATTTTGTTGATTTTTTTATTCACCTAGAAAAAAAGAGGGGTTTGCTAGATTTTCATTATACTTTTCAATAAAGAAAGCAACATGTTTTTAAATAAAATCACAGAAAAGGGAATGCATAGATGACCTCTGTGCCATTTCAGAACACTACCTGGCACTCTCATTCATCAGTATAAACTCTTTTTCACATCTTTTGAACTTTTGTACCATATCTATACACTGTATTTGAAGTCAAAAAAAATTAAAAACAAATTTCTAATTTAAAAAAGGAAAAACAATGAAACATCAAATGATTGATAAGGTATGACTATCCAAATTCTTAGTGTATTAGTAAGTAGTAACAAAACACTCTAAAAATAATAAAATGTGCAGACACATTTGCAACCCAAATGCTGGCGTAATACCCTTGATAGAAAAACATAGTGCACCAGGGGAACCAAAATAAAGTCATCTAAGGTTAAAAAAAAAAAAAAAGACATGACACAGTACACAATTTTCAAAGAAGAAAACACAAATGACAAAAAGATGTGAAAATATCTAGCCTCTCTTTGGATCAAGGAAATTCCTAAGATAAGCAGCAATGAGATACTGTTTTTCAGTGATTAAATTACAAAAATAAACCAAACTTAAAATACTTTGATCTTACAAAGGCACGGGGAACTAACTTGGTCTTCACCCTGCTGACCGAGGGTAAATGACTTTTATCCCCCCAAACTTTCTGGAAAGTCATGCTATGAGTCTTGAAAATATCCCTGCCCTTCACCTCAGAAACTTCTTCTTTAGATGAATCTAGAGTACAATGAATCCACGATGCAGGAGGGAATTGTTCAAGGCATGTACTGTCCATTCACTGTATCATGTGTATCCTGAAAGAGAGAGGCAGCTCATGAGGAGAAATGAAAAATTGCTTGAATTCTTTCTTTTTCATAACTGTTACTGACAGTCACATAGCCTGAAGATTAAAGTCACTTGCAAATGACTAATGAAGCTCCTCTGGGCTCTCGCTGTCCTCCTTGGTGGGTGCTGTAGGACCCTGTGGTATTTTGGCAAACTTGCTCATCTGCACGTCTCAGGGGGGAAAGATATGTATGATGTCCGGCTTTATAACCTCACCCCCACCCCTCAGCACCCAGCATGGCTTCCATTTTCTCAGTGACAGAGCTAGTGTACCCTCCTTTGAAGGATGACTTTGTAGACTATGACTTAACATGAAGGTGTCCTTTCCAAATAGGATTACCAAACCAGTAACAATGACCAGGCTGTGGTTGAAGTCTGTATCACAAGAATAACAACAGCCATCAGAGAGACAGAGTCCATTGAGAAGCACGCCAAGGCCCTGGTGGGGCTCTGGGACGCCTGCCTGGAACACAGCCTGAGACCCTACGGGAAAGACGAAGACACACCTCATGCCAAAATCGCATCGGACATCATGAGCTGCATTCTGCAGGTAGGTGGGTGCTCGTGTTCTAGCAGCTGGATGCCGAGCCAGCAGCATGTGGAAGCACATGATGGTTCTGTGCCAAGACCCTGTATCCCAGGGCCACTTAGACACTGTGTGACCACACCACTGGCCAGGCCCAGCAGCACGCTCGCAATCCCAGCTGCTCAGTAGAGGTGGGAGGAGTGCGCTTCTGAACCAGCCCCAGCAAAAGTGTGGAAGATCCCATCTCAACCAAACCAAGTCTGGCAGTGTATAGCTGGCACCTCAGAGGCAGAGATAGAGAGTCATGGTTTGATGCCAACCCAAGCAAAAGCATGAGATGCTGTCTGAAAAACAAGCTAGGAACGGAACTGAGGGTATGAGTGCAGTGGAGAACAAGTGTGAGGCCCTGCACTCAATCCCCAATAGCGCACGCACACACACACACACACACACACACACACACACACACACACACACACACACACACACACACACACACACACACACACACACACACACACACACACACACACACACACACACACACACACACACACACACACACCATTACTAAGCCAGAAGGCTGCTAAGTAATACACTGAGAAGGTTCTATCAAGCCCCCAGTTCTAGACAAGACATGCTGTAAGGAATTCAGGTAACACCACTGCAAAACTCCCATGTGGTTCGTAAGGTGTACACATAGAAGCAGCTGATAAAAGCAACATATGCCAGATCCTAAAGAGGAAATGCATGTGAGGAAACCTTTCCCCTCAGTGGGGTCCAAGGAAGGAATGGAGATGAAGCTAGAGATACGGTGAAAACAAGTTCCTCTGCCCTGCCTCTCCCTCCTCTGCTGGGGCGCGATGCCTGGCTCGGGACAAACCCGGTCTTTCTCTTAGAAGTTGGGACATTTTGGGAGAGAAGCACACTTACAATTGTCTCACTGTAACCTGGATGTTGGTGGCACACACCTGTAATCCTAGCTACTCAGGAGACTGAGATCTGCGGATTGCAGTTCACAGCCATCCTGGGAAGGAAAATCTGTTAGACTCTTGTCTCCAATTAACCACCAAAAAGGAAGAGTGGAGGTGTGGCTCAAGTGGTAGAGTACCAGTAGTGAGTCAAAAAATTGAGCTAGAGCACAAGGCCCAAAGCTCAAGTCCTAGTACAGGTACATGAGAAGAAGGAAGGAAGGAAGGGAAGGAATGGGGTGGGGGGTAGGGGGAGGAGGGGAGAAAGAGGGAAGGAGGGAGGGAAGATTCAGTAAGTCCCATTCAGGACATCAATCCACAGAAATCCAGTACTGGTAATTGATGAATGCACACTCAGAGGCCCCTTACTACATGAGCAATCTCCATGTGTGGACAAGTACCTAAATGAAGCTACTGTTTGTGTGGGGTTTAGAGCTTCCACTGAGCTAGGTTTCCATTGTCCACTGCCATCTCCTGGAAAAATCCTGAAAAAGAAGATCCCTGCTCCCCTCTCCTCCCTTCCTCCCCCACTCCACCTTGCCCCTCCCAAGGCACTGGGCCTTCCAAGATGAACACACCTGGTGGTGAGGGTCAATGGAGACTGAGAAGTACACTGGGGATGCTGCTCTTGTTGCTTGGATGGTGTGCTAGAGTGACATTCTGGAGAACTGGCAGGTCGGCCAGCAGCCACTGGACGCTATGAGAGCCAGTTCCAGCCATTCCTGCAGCCAGGGCCTACCAGACTGACTGACCAGAGCTGTGGCCATGTCATCTCTTCTCCCCTCCCTGCCCTTCTGCTGATGCTTATACAAAGAGAGACATCATCAGAGGGGCTGCCCAGGGACAGGGCACAAGGAATAATTCCTAAACCAGACCACATGTGTTTCCCTCTTTTTAGAGAAGTCCGGTGTCCACTTGCCGGTCCTGCTGAGTCCTCATTCAGTCACAGCAGGACAACCAGGCATACAGAAGAAGGACTGGCTATCTCAATCAGATTGCTAATTGATAATGTTGAGATTCTATTGATAATCTCAGATTAGTTAAGATTAGGCAATCTCAGCTCTACAAGTCACCCTAGTATAATCTTGGCCAAATCCATCCTTCTGTGACCTCAGTTTCCTTGTATGCAAGATGCAGGCAATAGGAGCAGCTTGTTAGGAGCTTGTATGAGCCCATCCTTGCCAAAATGATTTTGTGGTGAGGAGTCAAAGCACAGTCATATAGCAAGTGCTGCCTGAACATTATTAACTGTGGTTGCTAGGGTCATCAGCTGTACCCAACACTTTCCCAGGACAATTAAGTTCATCCATTATTTATTGGAGCCATTGTCTGATCATCTAGCTCTACCCTAGCCCAAGTTATAAGCTTGGTTTATTCATGGAAGTGATCTCAGCACCTAAAATAGCACCCAGTGCAGAGCCGGTGCTCAAATCATGTTTACTGAATTACAGAACAAATGAATGGGCTTTGGAGAAATAATGCCCCTGGCTTTGGTAAAGCTACACTGCTCTCCAGAGTGGGGCCCAGGATCTGATCCCAGCATTAGACAGAGGCCTGGAAGGGAAGAGAACTGGGGCAAGCCACCGCCCCTGAGGTCTGAATCTTAGCATCTGTCACAATGCCCCCTGGAAAACTGTGTCAATAGATTTTTCTATTTAGCCAGACTGCAAGGAACCTGGCACTTTATAGGTAATTCCAAAATAAGTGTGACAATGCTAGAAGGAGTGTTTTAATAATTGAATTTTTCTCAAGCTCGATCATTTCCTACAGCTCTTTAGTTGAATGTCAGACCTGAAAAACAGCACACTTTTCAATTGGTGACATTGTACATAGTGGTCTCTTCTACTCTAGCTTGTTTCCTTCCGATCTTAAAATGCTGGGAAATAGTCCCAAAGTGCAATTTCGAAAGAAGAAAAAATCTTCTCTCAAAAGCTCAGGCTGGTGTTCATCCAGTTAAGAAATATAATCATTGGCAACCGTAGAACAAAGCCCTTTTGTTTTACCTCTCCAGCAGTAGATAGCTGACCCTACAAGCACCCACACTCAGTCTCCTCTCCAGCACTGTACACTCACGCCGAAGCTCGAATACGTGCCAGGGCTTCCAACACTGCCAGTTGCTGCGTACATGGTGCAGTTGCAGGACCAGTGCCGCCAGACTTTCTCTGACCGTGTGCCATATCTGTGATCCAAATCATTTGGGAGATAGAAATAATTCTATGGGCCTGAGATCTGTTATATTCGCTGCCTTTGAACGAGGGCTCGGGTACTGAGAGGGGGTTGTTTGTTACTTGCTGGTTCCCCAGGACCTGCTGTCCGGCGGCATCTTGGCTTCCTCGTGCCTTACTCACATCCTGTTGGTCATAGCAGAGCCCATGACTTCTTGATGCCCGAGGAACTGTCTAGACACTGGGCCCAAGAGGCTCTGGTGGCCATTCCTTAGTGATTGTGTGAACTAATTGCTCTTTTCTTGATCTTTTCTTTCTTTGAGAGAGGTCCAAGACTCATGTGGGAGGGAAACAGAAAATTCGGGTTTGTTTGCTTACAGGATGGCGTTAGTCATCTGGGGTGAGGACATACATTTCAACTGGAACCAGAAATAGACTTGACTAGCTGGTCACTATTTTTCTCCAGAGCACCTACAGTTGTTGTAAAGAAGAGATCAGACTGGTTAAGATAGGCTGGTTTCAATGTTGTTACTGGCAAGTAACGTTGACCCCAAAGCTTAAAATCATCCAGGTCTGGAAATGGTGATTTCCGTTGACTGATCTTTCACAGCTTCAATGCCAATACCATTGTTGTTCAACAAGCTACAAGTGTGCAAGGGGGTCGGTTCTCCTGATGGAAGGCATACATCACCTCTCTACCTTCAAGCCGTCCTTGGCAAAAGAGCCAGAATAGATCGGACACACCTGGAGTTCTTTGGTGAGAATCTCTGAGAATTGTGTGAATGAGCTGGCTTCCATATTGAACCCACTACAGTGTGCCATTCACATTCAGAAAATTCTGAAACAAAGATGGTGACACTTGCATATAGTTTACTGTATTTATGCTAACTTTTGAGTCTACTTGAAGCTGAATTTCAACTCTTTCCTATGACATAAGATAGCTAAGAAAAAATGGTTAGCCCATGTCTGAATTAATTTTCAGTTAACAAAACTTCATCATTAGGACCTAGACCAAAATTAGCATCTAAAGAAACAGCGATTTTGTCATGCTGTTAGACTGTTTGGGTATCTTCATTTGTAAAATGTCTGTCTAATTTTCTATTTGGTTGTTTCCTGTTTCTCAAAGATCTGAAGATTTTCTTATATATTCTAGGTATGTGAGACTTGTTGGATAAGAGTATTGCAAATGTCTTCTTTCACAGTGGGAGTTATCCTTTTACTTTTAAATGCTGCCACTTGATGACTAGAAATTCTTCCTTTAATCTATTCTATAACTTTCTCTTTTTTTCTTTTTCTTTTTGTCAGTGGTAGAGCTTGAACTACTGGGCCTGGGCACTGTTCCTGAGCTCTTCAACTCAAGGATAGCGCTCTACCACTTCAGCCACAGCACCACCACTGGTTTTCTGGTGGTTAATTGGAAATAAGAGTCTCATGGACTTTCCCACCCCATCCTCAGATCTCAGCCTCCTGAGTAGCTAAGATTGCAGGTGTGAGCCACCAGCACCCAGCTAAACAGTGATTTTTTTTTTGCTAGTCCTGGGCCTTGAACTCATGGCCTGGGCACTGTCCCTGAGCTTCTTTTTGCTCAAGGCTAAAACTCTACCATTTGAGCCACTGCACCACTTCTGGCTTTTTCTGTTTATGTGGAACTGTGGAATTGAATCCAGGGCCTCATGCATGCTAGGCAAGCACTCTACCACTAAGCCACATTCCCAGCTCTTCTCTCTCTTTATTGTTAATATTTTTGAGTTCAGTTTGAAGATATCTTGGCCTCCAGGTAGGCCTGCGGCCATCAGTATATTCTGTGTGCTTTCTTTTCTGCCTCAATTTTCTTTTCTCATCTTTAGATATTCTGTGTATCTGGTGCTGATTGCTGCTATGCCTGGTATAATAGTGAATACACAGTTTTCTCCCATGTAAATAGCTACTTGTCCCAATTGTCACCACTTCCAAGATGACATCATACTGCCGAGAGACCTGTATGCCACTGACGATCTGTAAGACTTGGTTTGGGAAAGGTGAAATCCTCTATTTCCTACCATCTACAGATTTAGCTTTCTCTCTCTCTTTTTTTGTTTTTTTGTCTGTTGTGGGGCTTGAACTGTGGGCCTGGGCGCTGTCCCTCAGCTCTTCAGCTCAAGGCTAGCACTCTACCACTTGAGCCACAGCGCCACTTCCAGCTTTTTCTGTTTATGTGGTAACGCAGGGCCTCATGCTTGCAAGGCAAGCACTCTACCACTGAGCCACTTTTCTAGCCCAGATTTAGCTTTCTCTTTAAGCTCCAGGAGAAACTTTAAGAACAGAAGTGGGCTAGGCATCTGTGGCTCACGCCTGTCATCCTAGCTACTCAGGAGGCTGAGATCTGAGGATCACGGTTCAAAGCCAGCCTGGGCAGAAAAGTCAGTGAGACTCTTTTTTTTGGGGGGGGAGCGGGGGTCCGGTCATGGGGCCTGAACTCTGGGCCTGGGCGCTGTCCCTCAGCTCTTCAGCTCAAGGCTAGTGCTCTACCACTTGAGCCACAGCGCCACTTCCGGCTTTTTTCTTTTTGCTTATGTGGTGCTGAGGAATCGAACCCAGGGCCTCATGCATGCAAGGCAAGCGCTCTACCACTGAGCCACCTTCCCAGCCCCGTCAGTGAGACTCTTATCTACAATAAACCACCAGAAAACCAGAAGTGGAGCTGTGGCTCAAGTGGTAGAGCACAAGCCTTGAGCTGAAGAGCTCAGGGACAGTGTCCAGGCCCAGAGTTCAAGCCCCACGACCAATAAAAAAGAAGAAAATAAGAAGAAGAAGAAGGAGGAGGAGGAGGAGGAGGAGGAACAACAACAACAACAGAAGAGGTGGCCCAGGCCTTGCAGTGTCAAGATACAGACTCAGATGACAAAGATATCAGTATAGAAACGAATTAAACAACATAGAATTTACCTCATCTCTCATCAAACAACTCAGGATAGCAGTCCAGGGGTGGTATGGTGACTCCGTGGTGTCACAAACCCAGGCTCCTTCTCTGTCTTCTCTGCGCACATCAAACAATGCCTGGTTTCTCTCACTTATGGTCTAGATAATTGCTCAGTTTTCTACCTTCTGTCCCAGGCAGCATTCAAGAGAGAACAAGACTCAGGCTCCAGTCCCTCCATAATAATGACAACAGAGAAGCTGAACATACAAGCCAGGCACAGGTGGTGCATGCCTGTAATCCTTGCTACTCAGGAGGCTGAGATGTGGAGAATTGTGCTTCAAAAGCAACCCAAACCCCCCTCTCCCCCCCCCCCCACAAAAAAAAAAAAACAGTCTGAGAAACTCTATCTTCAAACCAGCAAAAATCCTGGACTAGGGTCTCAGCTCAAGGAGTAGAGCACCATCCATGAGCTCAGATTCCAAAAGAGAGTAAAAGGCCCTGAGTTCAAGTCCTAATGTGATACATGCGCACATGCACACGCACACACACATACACACACATTTCTATCCCATTGTCTGAAGCTGTACTTGGCAACACCCAGTTGCAAAGAGGGTTGGGAAATGCTATCTCTAGCCATGTGTCAATAGAAACCCAGCAACCTTCCACCAAAGGAAAGGGAGTGACAGCTCCTCCTAATATCTCCCCACCTGCCCAGGTCTCCCTTCAATGTGTTACTTGCTGTGGATTGAACCAGGATGCTGGTTGCCGATGTGTAGGCTTGTGTTTAGATGGTGATCCTTAACCCAGACTTCTTTGAAACATGGTCAGTACACTCAAAATCCTAGAAAGTCTTCCTGCAGCACAGTCAGGCTGTGAGATCTACTTATCAGAGAGTGGTCAGTCTATATTTATCCATCCATCCATCATCTATCAATCATTCCATCTATCTATCATCTATCATCCATCTGTCCATTATCTATCTATTTACATACTTCATTTGCAGTACTGGGTTTTAACTCAGGCTCTATTTTCTATGCTTGGTTCCTTTTAAGGTAGTCATACTTTTTCTCCTGGGGGGGGGGGGGGGGGGAAGGGGGTGTCTGGAACTGTGATCTCTCATTTATGCTTGGGTGTCACTTGGTTTATAGACATATACCATGGTGCCCACCTTTTTCTGTTGAGACAGGGTTTCTGGAACCATTTTGACTGGGGATAGGATGGGGAGGACAGCCCTGTGACCCTCCTGACCCCCCACTTCCTGAGCATCTAGGGTTCCCTGCATGAGCCTCTAGCACTGGGCCTATCCAGCATGTCTGGGAAAGATGGTGACATTCTGTACAGGTGAAGGCTGGCTAGTGGGGACCCCATGAACACAGCAGGATGGGAAAGGGTTCAGATGAGAATCCAGGGCCTGCTTTTCCCCTGCTCCCCTCCCCCACACGAGGTGCCATGACAGTTACCACCAGAGAGGCAGAGAGGTGCACTTCTTTTTCATTGATGTTATGCAATTTGACCCACCATAACCCTATACCTGTATTATCATAACTCTACTCTAGGAGCCTAGCTCAGTAAATACTTTATAGGTGGATGGATGGATGGACGAACGGATGGACTGATGGATGGATGGATAGATGGATGGATGGATGGACAGATGAATGATGGACAGAAGGATGGATGAATGGATGGGTGGATGGACAGACGGGTAGACAGATGGGTGGATGGATGGATGGATGGATGGAAGGATGGCCTGACGGATGGATGGATGGATGGGCAGACGGATGGACAGATGGGTGGATGGATGAGTGGATGGATGGATGGACGAATGGATGGATGGATGGACGGGTGGATGGATGGATGGACAGATGGACGGATGGATGGATAGATGGATGGATGGATGGATAGATGGATGGATGGACGGGAGGACGGAAGGACGGATGGATGGATGGAAGGATGGACGGATGGACAAATGGATGAATGGATGGATGGGTGGGTGGGTGGGTGGGTGGGTGAATGGATGGATGGATGGATAGATGCATAGACAGATGGATGGATGGACAGACAGATGATGGGCAGATGGGTGAATGGATGGATGGATGGAAGGATGGATGGATGGACAGACAGATGGATGGATGGATGGATAGATGGGTGGGTGGATGGCTAGGTGGATGGATGGGTGGGTGGATGGATGGATGGATGAGCCATGACTCATTTATGAGTGGCTGGCTTGTGTCTCCCCAGAATTACAACCGGCCCCCCGTCATGGCCGTGGCCATTCCGGTAGCCGTGAAATTCCTGCATGGCAGCAGCAAGGACATGCGCAGGAATTTGTCCAACTACCTGTCACTGGCGGCCACCACCAGGGCGGAGTTGCTGGCAGGCCACACGGAGGCAGTGCTGTCGAGCGTCCTGCAAGGTGCGGGCAAGCTGGGTGTGTCAGGGTGGAGGAGTGCATCCAGGAGGCACGGACACGTGCGTGGAGGGCTGGGAACTTGCACATGGAGGGTTGGGCGTGCGCGAGGAGGGCTGGGCAGTATGTGGAGGGCTTGGCAGTACATGGAGGGCCGGGCATGTGCACACAGAGGGCCGTGTGCGCAGAGGGCCAGGTGTGAGCAATGATGTATACAGAAAATACATGACTACTACTCCTGGAGCGAGGGTCACGTGGAGGGCCATGCATGTGGAGGGCCATGTGTGCTTGAAGGGCCGGGCGCGTGTGTGGAGGGCTGGGCCTGGAGTGAGGGGCGCGTGGAGGGCCATGCGTGCGTGGAAGACCAGGCCAGGAGCGTGGGCGTGTGGAGGGGTACATGGTACATGAGGGCCAGGCTTGGAGGACCGTGCACTTGGAAGGCTGTGGGTGTGGAGGGCTGGTGGGTGGAGGGCTGGTGCGTGGAGGGCCGGGCCGGAGCACAGGGTGCTCCATAGGCACAAGTTGATGATGGACTGGAAAGTCCTTGCCAGAGCCCGCTTCTCTTCCCAGGCGCAAGCCCCAGCCTTGGGCCTCCTTCCCGCCCTGCGCCCCGAAGCCCAGCCGTTTCCCATGACTCTACTCAGCTGGCGCCACCCTCAGCCATGGGGAGTGAGGCCACAGCATCATGGGCAGTGCTCGCTGAGGCCAGTAGGGCAAAAACCCTCCTCCTCCTCTGCTTTCCAAAAGCAGAAGCCTTGTGCAATGAGGCATACGGAAAATGCAAGGCAACTTCACAAATAGGAACCTGACTCAAGAATACTACCATGCACACGCAAGCACACGCACTCACACAACCAGCTCAGCACACCTCTGACGGTTCTCCCCACATTTGAATGAAACATGTCAGGTGACAGAACATTCACTTGCCTTCTCCTTTTCTCTTTGGTTTCAGATCTACCAGAAACCAGAGTTTTTTATATTTGTGGTCAGAAAACAATGTACTGTATTATTTGATATGCATCTAGACGTCTCCAGCCATCATTAATAAAAATGCATGAGGTCCATGAGTATTTTGGCCCATATACGACTGACACAACCCCTTCCTGTACATGGATGACACAACCCCCTCCACAATATGACTGACACATCTCTCATCTGACTGACACAACCCCTCCTGTATATGGCTGACACAACCCCCTCTCCATGCTCAGGATCAGCATCAACCCCTTGCGAAGTGAGCTGAGCTCCTTCAACTGCAGGATCAAGTTGATAGCTCCTTTTTATATGTGGTGTTGAATTTGCTAAAAGTCCAGAGGAGCAATTATGATTTTTTTACCACATTGAAAATATTTTTTGGAAAGAATTCTAATACTCACCAAACATTTTAAAACCATAGTAGTTAGGCTTGTAAGTAATTTATGAAAGAAAAAAAAGAATCATTATGTCTTTACAGCTGCCAAGAACTTAGCTCATCCATTTGTTTGTTCTTAATGCTTTTTCAATAATGAAGAAATCTTTGAAACACAAAATACACTTTCTAAAGTCATTGCAAGCATTTGATATAAACAAATGACTTGGTTTATTTGTTCAGGCAGTATTAAAATTACCATAAAAATGGTAATTAGACCTATGAAAGGTTTTGGATTTTAGAGCTGATGTAACTGTAAAACTCCCCAGTCACTCTCTGGGGTTGCAAAGCAAAGAATTTTGTATCACTGCATCATTTTCTGCTTTGCAGAGCTTTGCCTCCTGCCAAACAGCTTTGGAAATCATCACTGATTTCTTTTCTCATTCTTAGCCTTTATACCTTCTTCTTTAGCTTGTAGTGTTCTAATCTTTGTTCTCCCATAGTTATACTTCTAAAAAAGAAAAGAAAAGAAAAGGTCACCTCCCCAATAATTACAGTACCGCTGATAATAACTACAATGGCTAACATTTATTACATGCTTTCTTTATGGTAGATTATATCACTTGATACCATAAGAACCCCATTTTACCAATAAGCAGAATTAAGTAACAGAAAAGTCCTGCTATCAATGGCTGAAGAAGAGAAAAAGGAAGGTTGAAGAAGAGACGGAGACTCAGGAGGAACCAGAACAACAATTTGCAAACACGTTGTGTGACTGAGAGATACACAAGGACTTCAGACTTCCGTTGTTACTTGATTCGGGGTTCAATGGCCATTCCCAGAGCCATGGCTCAGCTTGCTTTCTGTGGATTTGGTTGATTTCATGTCCCACAGTGTGGACCACCCCAGCTTTCAGGTCCCCTTCATCAGGAATACTAATAGCCAGAAAATGCCCATAGCCAGTCTCAGTTTTTCCTTTCTGACAGGGACCACGTGACCATTTCTGAGCCAACCCATCACTGCTACCAGTGTGCATGCTGTACATCAAATGGTGGAGTTGTGGTTGCCAGCCACCCTCAAAACAAGATGGAGTCAGCTTCACGATAGCCACTTGGGTGAGGGATTAAGAAGGAGTGGATCCAGAAGAAATCCAGACTGTGGTCAGGACCCAGCACTGGACACAGAGACTCTACAGATGCCCACGGTATCATCTTTAGATGAGCATGCTGAATCGCAGGGAGCTTAAAGCAAGACTCTTTCATGGCCATTTCACTGGAAAGCCTACTTTACTGCTGAATCCCAGCTCCACCAAATACTGGTTGCATGCTTCATTTTGCTGAGCCTTCATTTCCTTCTGCATAACAGATTGGTCTGGGCAATCACATGAAAGGAGGCCTGCACATAGCCCTCAATAGGTATTCGCTTAGAATAGTGAAGATAAAATCATGACTGTCTCCTTCTATTTGAGCTCGTTAGGGCCAGAGACAATCTACATTATCCCGGGACAAATTCCTGTATTGAATCACAAGTTCTTTCCCGCGGCCTCCCATGTGTGGTAGGCCTTTCCCTGGGGCAAAACCCCATGTTGCTCTTTCACACAGTAAGCTTCCAAATACTGGGGCACAACTACCATTTCTCACTTCTCCTCCACCCCACCCCTCTTCTTCCTCAGTCATAACTATCACAGATCTCCTGCCAGCTTGCTGACTTGGCATATGATTACTCAGCCTGCGTCCAGGACATTCTCTGGTCCCTCCTGCTCTCCCCTTGCCATCCTGCCCTCCATAGCTAACCATGATGGGCCAGGCTTCATCCTGAGAATTAACGTGGACATAGCCTCCTGTAAAGAAGCTGCATTTTGCCTAGCATATCCAAGAAACAGATTCCCACAGCATAACATCTTTAATGTCTTTTGTGCTTATGGTCCACCAAATCTCCAAAGACTTTTTTTTTTAAAAAAATAGGAGTTCTTGAAAGGACACATGGAGCGGTGTCTGCCGAACTCTGAATGTTTCCTTCTTGTTTGTTTCTGTGAGACTTTTATCTCCAATAAACCACCAGAAAACCAGAAGTGGTGCTATAGCTCAAGTGGTAGAGTGCTAGCCTTTAGCTGAAGAGCTCAAGGACAGCACGCAGGCCCAGAGTTCAAGCCTCCACAACCAACCAAAAAAAGAAAAAGAAAAAAGAAAATAAGATTTTCTACAAGCAAACCCCAAATACTTCATAGTCAGGTTTTAGACACAATAAGAGAAATTTCTGTAAACTTGCAGAAAGTGATGTCAAAACCCAGGAACAATTAATTGAAAATATATTCATAGTTATTTATGTGTTTATTATTATTCTCGCCAGTACTAGAGCTTGAACTCAGTGCTCCTACCACTGGATCCACAGCCCCAGTTCCAGCTTTTTGCTAATGAATTGGAAGTAGACTGACAGATTTATCTGCCCCACTGGTGTCAAACCATGTTGTTCATATAACCTCCTGAGTAGCTGAAATGTTGCTGAAATGATATTATTTAAAGCAGGAAAAAAAGCACACAATACCTAGTAGAAGAGTGAAATAAAATTATAACATTTTGGAAAGCAATCAAAGATAAGCAAATATATCAATATACTATGTCATGAATGGAAGAATTTGATGTAGCTCAGATGTTGCTTTTTAACATATTCAGTGAAACAGTAAAATTCCAACTGAGATTACTATGAAGGACAACAAAGCCGTAAAAAAGACAAAACAGAATAAAATATCTCAGCCAATTTTGAAGATAGGAGTTGTGCAGTAGCGGGGAGGCAATAATTTCCTTAACATGTTGTAAAATCCTAGCAATGAAGAGAACACAGTACAGGTGCAAGAATAGGCAAGGAGCATGAACCAAGGGCAGAAGTAAGCCCTTACAGACCTGAAAACTAGATAAATATACAGCAGTGAAGCTTTGCAATAGAAGAGTAAACTATTCAATGAGTTATCCTAAGATATTTGTCCATAGCACATGTCTTTAATTTCAGGTGACATAGAAAACTGGATATAAAAACTGATAGCAACGTCACAAAAACAAAACAAAAATAAACTCAAATTATACCTAATGGATACATTAGTGAGTGCTTCCACTTGAATTTGAATTAAAAAAAATAAGCCAAGGTGTCACCTGAGTTCTCCCAACTTATTCTTTGCCGCATGCATACGGGCCATGCCACCTGTCCAGTATGGGAAAAAGAAGCAACATGAGCTACCACATCTTGCATGCAAGGTGACTGATTTATTAGGAGCATCTCTCTGGCCTTAAAGGATCGTGTTGAGAGCTTATAGGGAAGTCTATTTGTACATGTTGATCAGGACCTCTGTGACGTGGTCTACACCACTGGTATCTAACTGGAAAGCAGTGACATCCCTGAAGCAAGGGCCTTAAGAAGGAAGTCTGCCCTTTCAACATACCATTCCCCTTGTGCCCTGGCACAAACCACAAGATGGCTCAAATGACTGGAAACTTAGCAAATCTGGGGAGAAAATGTCATATTATCTCCAAAAGCGTTCCAATTCCTTTCTAATTGACTGACAACATCCCAGAAAAGGCTGTCTAGTTAATTAAAAATAAATGCAAATTTTATCTCATTTCTTCCTTTGTGTGAAACAAGATTCAAACCATTGCTTAGTGAGAAGTCTCAGAGAAATGGAGTTAGAAAATTCATTCCAACATAGCAATAAGAATATGCATCACGCAGGACAGATTAAATGTAAGTCAATAAAGCATCTATAATTGGAATATTTCTCAGCCCACTGTTCATCATGATTTTGGGATTCTCCAAATATCATCATCATCATCATCCTCATCATCATCATCATCGGAATTGTTATCAGCAACAGTGTAGTACCTGCCATGTACCAGGTCCCTAGTAAATTATTACAGTCGGAGCCATGGCCATTTGTTAACTTTGATACTTCCTAGAGAGATACTCAAGCATTAAAAATCCATGGAACAATTCTTCCTGAAAAAAAAAATAATAACAGCTTTAAGGTAATGCATTACAGGTTGTTAGGAAAAAAATTACTAAACCAATACTTTTAAGTAATGAGCTATTAATTTCATTTTATTAGGAATATTCAACTTGAATGCTAATACACATAATAGAATATGAATAAAAACCTGGAGAGAGATACTTTGGAACAGACAAGAGCCTTCTCAGGACTACTAGCCCAGCCTTGAACGTGGTGCCTGTCAGAGCTGACACCTTCTCCACTTCACCAGCAGATGGGGCCCTGTAGGAGGGGGAGGCCTGCACCCACCCCAATTGCGTGCACACTCAGAAAACGACTCAATGGAAAAGAATCCTAGACTCTCAGTCAGTGACACCTTAAGTTACATGATCTGCTGAGTGGTTTCCTGTCCTCAAATCCAAAATAGGTCTCCTGAAAGGCAAATGTCACCAAAGGTGAGGTGAACATGCTCACATGGTGAGGGAGCACTGTAGATTGTTGTAGAGTGGCATGGCTTTAGTGGAAGCTGGACAAGTTTATGGGAAAACTGAATCTCACATCTGTAGAGCAGCCCTGGATTCTGCAGCCTGAGCTCGCAGATTTTCCCCTACTGGTATGGATCTGTGTGACAGACAGCATGGGGTCTGATGGTACAGACCGGTGGCTGGAGTTACAGCCACCACCCCCACACTCCAGTCAGAGAGGAGGGAGGGGAGGACCATCACACACAGCAGTGAGCTGTTCAGAGCCATCCCACACTCCAGTCAGAGAGGAGGGAGGGGAGGACCATCACACACAGCAGTGAGCTGTTCAGAGCCATCCCACATTCCAACCAGAGAGGAGGGTGGGGAGGATCATCACACACAGCAGTGAGCTGTTCAGAGCCATCCCACATTCCAACCAGAGAGGAGGGTGGGGAGGATCATCACACACAGCAGTCAGCTGTTCAGAGCTAGGGCACGGATGGCGTTGCTGGCCCTGTGCAAAAATGCCTGGGGAGAGTGTGGGCCCTGAGGTCAAGCCTTGTGCCCAGCACACACTCACACTGACACATTCACACACGTTCACTCACCCAAATTCAAGTGGAGGACACGAGCTAGTGTTATAAAACATTTTATTTACAAGAGACTTATAAAAATAAAATTAATACAAACTCACTTTACAACATAACTTACACGACTGTGTTCTGGGGAAGGGCCGCGGTTACCGCCGTGCAGCCCCCCCCCCCCCCGCGCTTGTTACAAGCTCACGTGGGAGTGTGGGGTGTATCAGAGCGAGGACTGCGAGCCTCCTGTTCTCCTGGCAACGTAGGATGCGCTCAGGCCGCAGCGAGACGAACCCAAAGCGACTGGCCGCTGTCCTCTGCGCCGCCGCCCGGGAGGGGATGGGAACGGGGCCGGCCGTGCGTGGCCCAGCCTCCCCGCCGCACCCCACGAGCCCGTCCGGCGCCGCGTGTCCGCGCACGCAGGGGGGTCCTCCGGCCGGCCCCGCAGGGCGCGCATGTCCGTGTCGCGCGTGGGGAGGGCAGGCGGCCTAGGAGAGGTACTGCGCACCACCATGGGGCAGGATCTCGGTGATGCCCCAGCCGACCACGTTCCCGCGGACGTGGCAGGACTCGTCCCCGCCGGCCTCGCGGATCTCGGCCTCGCTCAAGACACGGTCCCAGATGTTGAAGCCGGTGAGCCACCCAGAGAAGGCGGGAGCGTCGTCGACGCTGCCGGCGCCTCGGCCGCCCTCCTGGCCGATCCGCAGGGCGCCGCCCGCAGGGACCTGATGGCCGGCGGCCACCTCCGCCGCGGCGGCCAGCAGCTGCCCGTCGGCCCACAGGGAGGCGCGGCCGCCCCGCGACGCCCACGTGCCGCACAGGTGCGTCCACCGCCCCGGGACCACGGCCCGGGCCGCCGCCAGCCCCTGCCCTTCCCCGCCCACCACGAGCTCCACGGCGCGGGGACCCAGGGAGAGCTGCATCTCGCGTGGACTCTGCTCCGTGCCGTAGGAGAAGAGGACGGTCTTGTTGAGCACCTCCGAGGCCCGCACCCAGAGGCACGCGCTGAAGGCGTGCAGCTGCAAGGGCCGCACGGGGTGCACGCTGCCAAAGATCCGCGGGGAGCGCATCGGGAACACGAGGGCCACTTCACAGCCTGCCGGGCGAGAGTGGGGGGAGAGGGGCGGGCGTGAGACACGTGCACTCCGGGCCATCTAACTGACATCACCATGCACATCGCTGGTGATGGAGAGGCCTCTGTCCACTGTCTGCCTCCTCCCACCTTCCCCCCACCCTGCCCGAACCCCAAAGAGAAGATAAACCCCGCCAACCAGCCCCAGCCCGCATAATAATGACAACCAGGCCTCACAATCCCTCCCCTGCAACTGCCATCTTTTCTTTGTTGCCGCTTTTCTAGTGGTCCAGTCACATTGAGTTACATCAGACAATGATCCTGTAATCTCCAAGGATCTGGAGCTCAGCGCCATCTCCTCTTCTTGCTATGCTTGGGATCCTTGAATAACAAACTGAAGCTCAATGCACCTAGCCCAGTCTCCATCATTAAGTGGAATTCCACATCAGCGATGGAACCTGGGAATCCACCTTCATATACCACACATTTGGGGATGGCTGTGCATGTCTAGTTGATGAGGTTTTTAAACTTGGGTTTTAATGTGGGCAGCCTGCTTGCAGAAGCCCCTTTCACACTCCACTGCCTCCTAATAACAGAATCCTTACATTTGGCTATGTCACTGAAATTCAGCTTGCTATGTTGCTATTAGGGACTGGGCAGCTCTTGGCAAGCCCCTAGTCGCTAGGCTTTAGTGTTCTGTATAAAAGGCCCCACCTCCTCTGTGAGTCTGTAAGAAACAAGGTGTGTAGCACTCAAAAAGGACTTAATGGGTTAAGGACATGATTAAAAACGCTTAACTTGGTCAAATAAACCCTTACAGTGGCCCAAAACTGTAATTCTAGTTATTCTGGAGGCTGAGATCTGATTGTGATTCAAAACCAGCCTCAGCAGAGAAGTGTGAGACTCTTATCTCCAATGAACCAGCAAAAAGCTGGAAGTAGAAGTATGGTTCAGTGATAGTTGTAAGTGAAAAAGCCTGAGCTCAATAGTTAAGCAGGAATAGAAAAATCTTTGAGTAGTGACTTCTTTTTTCAAAGGGCCTCATTGGAGAACACATTTCTGCAGAAGAGCCCTTAGGAAGAATTAACATCAGGCCAAGAGGTCAGTCTGCTGTTAACCATGTCCCTCCCAAGGCCATATGACTGGGCTGAGAGCTGGAAGGGAAGACGTAGGTATGTTTGGGGAATGGTGGTGCCAAAGCCTTTAACAGATAAGCTCAGATTTCTGTAGAATATATATGTATATAGAGAGGGAAATTTTTAGAAACTAAATTGAGATTAAACATTCACTTTATAACAACCTACAGAAGATGAACCATAAAATAGTGATTCCTATAGCATGTAAAGGCAAATTGGGGACTAGACAGATCTTCCAGGAAACAAAACTTTACATGTTTCCATGTAAAGTTTTTTGATAGCCTGTGTTACTGCCCAACAGGTGGCTCTGATCCAGGCTCTGTCCTGAAAACAGTAAGCAGAAGTAGACTTGATCTTTCAATGATAGTCAAAGAAGATGCAGTGATCTAGCAAAGTCATAAAAAAGTAACACAAGAGCCCTGATATCAGTACTCACAGCTGTCATCCTTGCTATCCAGAAGGCTGAGATCTAAGAGTGACAGTTCAAAACCAACCTGGGCAGACAAACCCAAGAGACTCTAATTTCCAATGACCCAGCAAAAAGCCAGAAGCGAAGCTATGGCTCAAGTGGTAGAGTGCCAGTCTTGAACAAAACAAAAGCTAAGAGACAGTGTCCAGGCCCTGAGATCAAGCCCAGTCACTGAGATATTTTATTCTGTTTTGTCAATACTGGTACAAAAAGAAAGAAAGCAAACAACCAAGCACAATACTAATGCATAGCACTGGTCCTGTCACCCCTGAAAATTCAGATTGTTCTGTGAAAAACAATGTCAGAGGTTTTGTAATTTTATTATTATTTTGCTTTTTGTCGGTCATGGGGCCTGAACTCTGGGCCTGGGTGCTGTCCCTCAGCTCTTCAGCTCAAGGCTAGCACTCTACCACTTGAGCCACAGCACCATTTCCAGCTTTTTCTGCTTATGTGGTGCTGAAGAATGGAACTCAGGCTAGAGCCTCATACATGCAAGGCAAGCACTATAACACTGAGCCACCTTCCCAGCCCTTGTACATTAATTTTTAATGAGGCTTTTTTTACTGTCATGGGGTCTGAACTCTGGGCCTTGGTACTGTCCCTCAGCTCTTCAGCTCAAGGTTATTGCCTTGAGCCACAGCACCACTTGAGCCACAGCACCACTTCTGGCTTTTTTCTGCTTATGTGGTGCTGAGGAATCCAACCCAGCGCCTCATGCATGCAAGGTAAGTATGCTACCACTGAACCACTTTCCCAGTCCCTAATGAGGCATTTTTTATGAGATTTTGCTGGGTGTGATGCTTTTCCTTGCCCTATTAATAAAATCAAAGCTCGTGGGACAGAGGTTGTCATATCTGTGGGTGTTTGAGGATTCAGATCTCTGCTAGGTTTCAGTAAGGAGGTACTCAAGAGGGAGCTGACTGCAATGTAATTTACTAAGTCTGTTGAAGCAGGGCCAGGGGTCAGGTTTGCATTCCACAGAGCCCCTTGATGGAGCCTGGGAGACCCCAATTTCTCTGGCTGGGGTACAGTGCCTGGTGGAAGCTCATGTTGGAAGATTTCTGTGGAATTTTTTTTGGGGGGGATGGGGGAGGGGGGGGGTTGGGAGACCAGTGATAGAATCTCTTGATTCCTCTTTTAAATGGCAGAAGCACAATCACGAAGTGACTTTTAGCTAGTCTTTCTATTCTATCAAAGATTAAACAAAATTAAAACCAGGTTCTTACAGGGCCAGCAAGATGATTAGCCCCCCCTTGGGAGTGAGGCTGGCAGGGGAAAGATTTATTGGAGGAACTGCTCCCGGATTTTATGTACCCTGTATGTGCAAATAGACTAAATCCGTGCATGACAATAGCACAGAACTGTTTGCTACCACGTTGAGGAGCTCTACTGTATGTTGGATTTTACGCTTTCTGTCTGAAGCTTACTTCACAGCTCAGGAACTATTCCACTGACTCGCGATCTCCGATACTTAGGAGAAGACGAACCACCTGCCTCAGCAGGTCCGATGAAGCCTGTGCCCCCACAGGCTTAAGAACGGTCCCCCCCCCCTCGTTTCCTTGAAATAATGGGTGGGGGGATTGCTTGCAATTGTGTTGTTTCTGAGATTTCTCAAGAAACATTCGAATTATATTCGAATTATCTGCACTGACCTTCTAAAACAACGCACGTATTGGGTTTTGTTTTGTTTTTAGAAAAGTTGACTTCTGCAGTGTTACTTCTGGCTTCCAAGACCTTCCTTCCTCCCTCACCCTGTGTGATTCTGGCTTCAGGGAGGCCACGGACAATCGTGGGTCCCTGGTCGGTGGCCCTCGAGTCTCGGGCTACCACGGGCAGGGAGGGTCACCGACAGCCCCTGACCCTCGCGGTCCACCCCTGGGAGGTGGAACTGGACCCCGGGTTCCCGCGGGGAAGGCGCGGGAGGAGCCGGCAGAGGGCGGGTCAACTCGGCTGGAAGTCTGCCGGACTTAGTGCAAGGAAATCCGAGCTCCCCGAAGACAGGGGCCCGATAGAATCAGAAGAGGAGGAAATCCCGAGGGGAGGGAAAGCGAGCCGCGGGGTGTGTGGGGGCGGGGGGGGGTGAGGTCCAGCGGGGCTGGCGGAACCGGCGTAGGGGCCTCGGGGTCTGGGTCAGGGCTGTGACGTTACCGTCCCCAGCCTCCTCCGGGCTCTCGGGTCGGGGTCGTTTTGAAAGGGAGATTTCCGGCCGGGGACGGGGTGCGCGCGGTGGGGGAACCGCCGGGGCCGTGCGCTCCCACGGAGAGGACCCGGCGCGATCGCGACCCGACGCGGGAGGGAGGACGTGCGGGTCCCCGCGGGTCCCCGCGACCCGGACCTTACCTGCCGGCAGCCCGTGGCGGGCAGCCCACCGGCGCACCGCCCGCAGCTCCGCGCGGGTCTCCCGCAGCTCGCGCAGCATCGCGCCCAGGGCGCGCCCGGCCTCCGCCTCCGCCGGCGCCGCTGGGCGCCGCGCCTCGGCGTCCTCCAGGCGCGCCAGCCGGCGGCTCGCGTCGCGGCTGCCCTGCAGAAGCTCGTCCAGCGCCCGGGCCAACCGGGCCTCCCCGGGGCCCGCGGCGCATGGCCGGGCCAGGCCGCCCGCCAGCCGGCCCAGCTCGGCTCGCAGCCTCTGCATCTCCCCGCGGAGCACCGCGTCGGTGGCCTCCAGCAGCATGGCCTCCCGCATCTGCGAGTTCTCCAGCATGGTGAACAGTTTGTCCCACTCCGAGGGCTCGCGGCGACAGTCGCACGGCGTGGCTAGGGAGCAGGACACACACGCATCGGTCACCGGCCCTGGGCCTTCCCCGCGCCTCCCCGGGGGTCCCAGGTCCACTGCAGGCCTCCCTAGGGATCCCAGGTCCCGGCCGATCTCCCCGGGGGTCCCAGGTTCGGGCCGATCTCCCCGGGGGTCCCAGGTCACCTCCTGCTCCTAGCACCCCTCCTCTGAAGGACACCCCCAAGCAAGATGCATGCAGGTCTCCAGAGCGCCCCCCGAGTGAATCTCTAGGCGCAGACCCCTGTCTGCGCGATCGTCTTTGTGCCGTGCGCGCCGGGGTACAGCGGGACCCGAGAGGCGCCGCGGCGGGAGAGCCGGGAGACTCACGCTCGTCGGTGGGGAGCTGCGCGGGCTCCAGCTCGTTATCCAGGTTCAAGTACAGGAGCTCGTAGTCGTCCGCGGGGCCGGCGCCCGCGGCGGCGCTCAGCGCACACAGCAGCAGCGCGGGGAGCCGCATGGCCAGGGCGCGCGTCGGGGCCGCGGAGGGGATGTGAGCCCCGGCCAGGGAAGGAGCGCGGGGGCCGGCCGCGTCGGAGCCCAGCCGCTGAGGGGATGTGAGCCCGGGCCCAGCCCGGCCCTTAATAAGGACCGCGAGTCCGTGCGGGGCCAAACGCGCAACGCCGCCCCGCGCGCGCGAAGCGAGTTCCAGCTTCTGGGGGAGGGGACGGGGGAGGTCGGGGAGCCGAGAACTTGCACAATGGTTTACCCTGATTGGAGGAGGGCCAGCGGGGAGAGAGAAGAGGGACTGGACTCCCACTGTCCCCTGGAGATCAGTGGTGACTTGGATTGGCCGGGCTGGGGGAGGGGGGGGGTCGGGAGCGCAGGGGTGCAGAAATCACCATCTGGCACAGGGGGGGCGGGGGGAAACCTGCGCGGGATTCCCACCCCGACCGGCCGGCCGAGCAGAGGAGCCAACCCTCTCCCGGGTACTAAGGGCGCGCCTGCCTGGCCCTGACCTCAGCCGGGAACGTGCCTGTCCAGCCTGGAATTACGTCCACGGAAGACGGTACACTTACTTTGCCATCCTCCGCTGTGACGGCCACAGAAAACAAACGCATCCTCTGTGCAGAGGCTTTGGGAAGATCTAGAAACCCATTTGGGGATTCTGCCTTGCTACCGAATTCTGTGATCCCAGTACCTGGACAGACCCAAGACTCATTGCACATTCTCCTTCTCAGACCCGGTTCATCTGCTCCTGCAGACGACCCACTGCCCACGACATGGCTAGAAACCGTGCCTAGGGAGACACGGGTTGGTAAACGTGGAATCAGCTGTAGGGTGGATTAGAGAGCTGCTGCCCACATCTATAAACAGAACACCGTCCAGCCATAAGAACAAATGAAGAAAATCCTCAAAAAAAAAAAAACACGTCAACGTGGAATGGAAAAATATATTACTGCATATGGTATATAATGTAGTAGGATATACTATCATATAATTAATATCACCATACAACATAACTACATCATAATTAATCCACTATAACCTATGGTATTATTCATAAAATGTGAAATCATGCAAAAGATTATGGAGACATACACGTGTACTAACGGTGTAAAGATTTCCCGTGTAGAGAAACACCGATTCTTGCATGGAGATTGTCTTCAGGGAGAACAATGAAACTCATAAGAAACAATTAAGGCAGGAGGTGATGGACGGTGTCTGGCCCCTGCCCTTATTGCCTATGCTGTCATAATTTATGAATGAGAATGAGATTTCTTCATCCAGCTGTGTTCCCTTTTCTGGATACTATTTTATTATCTTTGAATAGTTCAAGAAAGCAGTTTATGGATATGGTGCAGCTTGATCAATGTTGCCTGTCCAACACTCTCACCCACCCCTCCCAGCCGCCTCCTCCCCATCCCTCACTTTTCTTCGTTTTTAAGTCAGATATTGAATTTTTTTGCCATTCAGCAGAGCAGTTTGTGTGATCCCTTCAACATTTCCACCCCCTTTGACCCACCCTTTCCCTTATTTTTCTTAATTCTGTGGTATATACAATGAATTCTTGCCTGAATTCTCCCCATTTCCCAGCTTCATCTACCTCTCTCCCTTTGGCCCCCACAATCCCCTCTTGCAAGTACCCATTTCCTGGTACTTATTTTACTGGGCTTTGACTTAATCTTCTCAAAGAACTATACTATTTGAGCTTTCCATAGTCTATTATCCTTCAGTAGATTCATTTGGAACTACTTGCATACCACCTGTGGGTTTACTTATAGATTGGTGGGCACATTCTAGCATCAGTTTCTAACACAGAAAATTATTCTGCATTGACTTTTTTATTACTTGATTTAAAATTGAGCTCAGCTGAAAATGACTGAGCTAGGATTCTCTCCTCTAAGCTAGTGACAGTTCTCCTTCTAGGCCTTCAGTTACCATTATACAAAAAGCCACTTGTGGTGTTTCTGTCCCACACCATGATATCTTCCATCAGAAGATGGTCATCGTGTCACTATAACTAAGCCCTGTGACCTAGTGTGTTCCGTACAAATTCAGTGCTGCACTCAACTCTCAATCCTTCTGGGTACCAGTGCTTCATGTCTATAATACTAGCCTGAGATCTAAGGATCATGGTTCAAAGCCAACCTGAGCAAAGAAGTCTTTTCTTTGCGTTGGTGGTGGTGGGCTTTAACTCAGGACCTGGGCACTGGCCCTGAGCTTTTTGGCTCAAAGCAAGTGCTCTATCACTTTTTTTGTGTGTGTGTCTTTTATTTTTTGGTACTGAGGATTGAACCCAAGACATCATACTTGCTAGGCAAGCGCTTTGCCCCTGAGCTACATCCCAGCCCATTTGTTGTTGGTGGTGGTGGTGGGGCCTGAACTCTGGGCCTGGGTGCTGTCCCTCAGCTCTTCAGCTCAAGGCTAGCACTCTACCACTTGAGCCACAGTACTACTTCCAGCTTTTTCTGCTTATGTGGTGCTGAGGAATCGAACTCAGGGCCTCATTCATGCAAGGCAAGCACTCTACCACTCAGCCAACTTCCCAGCCCATGCACTCTACCACTTTGAGCCACAGCACCACTTCTGGTTTTCTGGTGATTCATTGGAGATAAGAGTCTCACAGACTGGGCTGGGATATAGCTCAGTGGCAAAGCGCTTGCCTAGCAAGTGCAACGTCCTGGGTTCGATCCCCAGTACCAAAAAGAAAAGACAAAAAAAAGGGTCTCACAGACTTTCCTGCGTGGGCTGGCTTTGAGCCATGATCCTCAGATCTCAGCCTCCTGAGTAGCTAGGATTACAGGCCAGAACCATGGCACCTGGCTCTATGAGACTCTTATCTCCAAGTAACCATCAAAAAGCTGAAATTAGACCTATGGCTCCAGGGATAAGGATATAAATTTGAGCAAAAAAGCTAAGGGAGAGCACATGGTCCAAAGTTCAAGCCCCAATATGGGCATACATGCGCTCGTGCACACACACACACACACACACACACACACACACACACATATACACGAACACCCCACTTTCAATCCTTTAGGAAGCTCTTATTAAGTGATAAACAGAAAACAAATAAATTACATAAAGTTGTTGAAAATGTAATGTAATGGACACGATTTTTTTTTAAATCTGAGTATTTCCAACACCTTACATTCTGTGGGCATACAACTAAGACATGTTTGAGCTAAGTCCAAAAAATACAAATGGGAAAGACAATTCTCAATATTTATTGTCACCAAATACATTCATTTTTATCCCTTTCACTAAAGGTAAGCATTGATATTCTGTAAAACCTCAAAATATTTGAGAATTCTTTCCTTCATACCCATTATTAAGTATCTTTTACATAGGAGTGCATCCTCGCCTCTTAATGAAGATCTATGTGTGTACAGTTCCTGCTTTTAAAAAATTCTGTCCATGTATGTCTCCTATAAACAAAGCCAAATTTAAAAGAAAATCATTTGGGGCTGGGGTATGTTTAGCTCAGTGGTAGAACATTGCTTAGCTTGTGTGAGGTCCTAGGTTCAATCTCTGGTGTTGCCAAGAAAAAAAAATGAAAAAGTAAATAGTGTCAAGAAAATTCTTGTCCAAGAAATCCCTAGAAACCAATTCCTCTGAGATGCTTAAGTATTTGAGAGGAATTTGGGAGCAAGAGAAAAAAAATCCATACCATCAAGCAATAAACAGATGGCTCCCATATGTTGCTTGCCTATGGAATATTTTCTCTTGAGGTGTTGCCATTTGAAATCCCTGTGTCTGCACACCTTGTGGAGGCAAATCATATGTGACAAACTGAGGCCCTTCAAAGAGTGCAAAAGTTAGGGACTTAAATCTGCATGGCTACTTTTTAAACTATTCCTAACACAATACCTGCTTTCTGAATGTCCTTGACCTCCATCATTCTTTGTGGCCCTCAGGAATGTGAAGACATTCCTCTGTGGTTTTTCCCAATTTTTTTCTCTTCGTTCAGTTTCATTTGGGTTCAAGCTTTCAACACCACTGACTTTCCATTTTAGCATCATTGAAACCTGGCTCCTTGTCAGGAATTCTCCACTGGAGCCTTTCCTTCCCAGGGCGTGGCCTGCTTACTGTCAAATGTGCCTTGTTTCCCCGAGGTACATTACTCGGGAAAATTTTTACTTGGATAAGAGTACTGATTGTATCATGAAACAGCCCCTTTCATGAAATCAGCTTAAATCATGCTTTAGTGGAGTTTTTTTTTTTTTCCTCAGAATAAGATACTGTGGGTTTTTTTCTCCCCCAACAGAAAACAGTTACTGGCCTTGCTATGTAATGCATAAGAAAATGCAAAGGTATGTATTGACATCAATGTTGTTTCTTCTGCAAGCCGACTGATGAAGCCTTTTCTGGTTCACCCCACAGGAAATGTCATGTTACTGAGGGTGCTACCTGCTGTGTATGAAAAGCAGCCTCAACCAATTAACAGACGCCTGAGTGAACTCCTGGCCTTGATGTCTCAGCTGGAGCCCCCAGAACAATACCATCTACTGAAGCTTTTGCATGTAGCAGCAAAGAGAAAACACGTGGAGGTAACTGCGCCTTGTACACTTGCTGCAAACAACAAGATGTAGTTCCTGATGGAGGGAAGGAATGGTGTTCTCAGGGCTTCTCCTCACTCATGCATAAATAAACACCGTTCTTCAGGAAAAGCTCTCAGCCACTTCCCATACCTGTGTGTATGCATCTGTGTACATGTATAGATGAACTGGCTCATGCAATTATGAAGGCTAAGAGTTCCACTCTGTTGTTTGCCAGCTGGAGACCCAGGAAAGCCTGCGGTGTGGCCCTCAAGTCCCAAACCCTAAGAACTGGAGGAATAGTGAGGGAGGGCGAATCTGTTTGAAGACAGGAACACCAAGCAATCAGGCAAAGCAAAATTTTTATTCTATTCTATTTTATTCTATTATTTTTATTTTATTTGCATTTTTCACCAGTGGTAGCATGCACATTGGAAGGACAATGTGCTTTATTCTACCTACCCACTGAGATGTTGATTGTATTGACAATTGTTCTCACAGACACACAGATAGAATGTAATCAGTCAACTGATATCAGAAATGATCCTTCCTAGGTACAACAAAGGCAAGCCATAGCGCAGATCTGTAGTCACTGCGGGGCAGTTTCAGTGCTGGTTTATTATTTTCTGTTTGCTGGAGATTGAATGCTGAAGTTAGGCAAGCATTCTACCATTGATCTAGATCCCAAACCCTTAGTGCATGTCTACTATGTTTATACAGAGTTAAAAATAAGTAGTTTCTCAGGTTGGGCCAAGGAAAAGATCATTTGTGAGGAAATCAGCCCATAATGAGAGCAAAGCCTCATTTTCTAGATAGCACATCCACTGTTGTTTGTATTTAAATGAAAGATTGAAATGATGAGGGTATTGGTGATTACTAGGAACACAGAGCCCAAGCCAGAGGACTTCCAATCATGGAAGCTCTCTACAGTGAATGTTGTAGAAAAGTCAAACAGGACTTCAGATGAGGCTTGATCCAAGATTCAAGCATGCGAACAAAAAAAAAAAAACCTCTCTTCCCACTTCTCAGGTTTTATTTCTAGATTTTTGGACCCTCAAGATCAGAGGGTCAGTAGCTCATCTAATAAAGTATTGATCTAGGGGTGGAGCTCAAGGGCTGAGTGTTTGCCTGCCACATGTAAGGCCTGGGTTCTATCTCCAGCCCAGGTCACAGCAACATCCACACACCCTGGGGCTGCAGGGTGTGCCTGTCCAGCCAGTGAGCTCCCATTCTTCCTCAGCTCCCAGCAGACTCCAGACTTTTCTCTGAGATTTGAAGCCAGTTCCTACTAGACAGCGCTAAGGACACCAGCCTGAGGAAATGCCTGAGAACAATCTAAGAACAATCCATCCTAAGCCCAGAGCACTGCTTTTCCTCTGTGTGTGTTTGTGTGTGTGTGTGTCTGTTTGTGTGTGATAAGCTTCAAGAAATAGCTGTTTTCTATCAGTGTTATTAGGAATGCACAGCAAAATAACCAAATCAGGTTTCATATCTAAAACTATTATTACTTTGCTTACGGGCTCAGTTTCTCTGCCCTTTCCTATTTCTGCAGATTCAGTGGTGCCCAAAAGTATATATCAGAGACCCTTTTCCAGACACCCTCTCCCCTCCTTCCCCCTCCTCTCCTCTCCCTTCCTCTCTTCTCCTCTTCCCTCCTCTCCTCCCTTCTCCTTTCCCTTTCTTTTTTCCTTCCTTTTTTCTTTCCCTTCTTTCCTTCCTTCCTTCTTTCTTCCTTCCTCCCTTCCTCCCTCCTTCCTTCCTTCTCTTTTTCCTTCACTCTTTCCTTCCTTCCTTCCTTTCTTTTTCCTTTCTTTCTTTCTTTCTTTCTTTCTTTCTTTCTTTCTTTCTTTCTTTCTTTCTTTCTTTCTCTCTTTCTTTCTTTCTTTCCTCCTTATTTTCTTTAAGGTATAAACAATACAACAGTGTCCTGCAAGATTTGGGGTGTATGGCTGGCATTCAGACTCAGTAATGAAGCTAGCTAGTATGACTAGAGCTTCATGTCCTGTGGAGCATGGTTTCCAGGCACACGATCTGCATAGCAAGGATTGGGATGTGGAATTGGATGGAAGGGGCAGGAAATGCATGAGCATTTTCCTTTTCTAATAGTCCCGGGTTGGGTGTGAACCTGACCCAGAGCAGCTGGCTGTGGCTTCTACCTTGGTGCCAGGGATCCCTGCAGGACACAGCCGCTTCCTGAGGCACAGGCAGCCTCACAGAACTGCGGGTTCATCCTGGAAACCAGCCCCGTCCTTTCCTTCCCAGAGTACCCGTCCCAATATGAAGTTCAATCTATACATACGTACGATAATTCTGCTCATCCTTCAACTATGTTGTTTATGTTAAACATCTACAATCACTCAGCTGTGGAGTGAGAATAATGTTTTATTCAAATGTCACCCTACAAAATTATTTAGATTTCCCCTCCATCGATTAATCCTCAATATTTATCAACTCATCTGCTGTGCTAAGCACTGGAAACCCACAAGCACAAAATCACCATGATTCTCAGCCTGCTGAAGTTCATTCCAGCCTGAATCACAGGCATCCAAACCAGTGCTGAGAAAGGGGAGGCAGGAGGAGAAGGAGGTGCAAGGACCCCAGAGCCAATAAGGGCTCCATGGAAGCTGGACTGAGGCAGAAAGGTGACAGCCATAGACTTTCCGGAAGGACCAGTTCATCAAAGGCCTCGCGAGCTCTCTGGAGAATGAGAATCCCAAGTAGAACAAATCAGATGAGTAAAAGCCCCAGTGAGACACAAGAGCAAGCTTGGTGGGTGAGGACCATTTTTGGAGCAATACAGGATAATTGAAGCATGCTGTTGGAGGAGGTAGGATGGAGAGAGAGAGAGAGAGAGAGAGAGAGAGAGAGGAGATGAGGGGGTGGGGCTGAGTGTGAGGGGGCGGGGCCAAGCTTCTGTCTGGACAGCAAGGACTGCAGTGGACGCGGGCATCATGAAGGGAAGGGACACCACTGTGACCACAGGATGGGAGGGCACTGGACAGGCAAGACAGAAGGCAGAGGACCTGTTGGGGCGCTGGAACTGTCCACATGCAAGGCTGTGGGATCCTGGTCTCAGTGGATGTCCCCACAGAGGGGCCTTCGCCGAGCCTCCAGCCTGCAGTGGGGTTACCTTCTGTAACCGTGCAGCCCTGATGCAGTCACTTGTGTCTGGAAGGAATCCTGTCGGATATGCAAGCAGCTCTAATAACCCCAGCACCTAGAACACCAGGTGCTACAGAAAGGGCTCAGTGGATGTGTGTGGATGGAAGAAGGAGGAGCAGGGAAATGGGGGAGAGAGTGGGTGGACACATCTGTGGGGTGTCGGGCAAGGGGAATGGACAGGCCTTGGTGATTGCTGGCATATGAGGGACAGGACTGGGAATCACCCCCGTTGCCTGGCTCGAGTAGCCCCATGAATAATTGTGTTGTTTATGGAAGGGAAACAGTACACCAGATTCAATTCCAACACTGAACTACACTTACAAGCTACCTTACCAAAAAAAGGAACAAGCCAAAAAAAAAAAAAAAAAAGAGCCAACCAATAGCAAACAAAAAAAATAAGCCTAACAGAAACATGATGGCCCATTTTCTTTACTCGTTTAACTTTACATGATTTTTTTCTTTCCTAGTTCTTTTATTTTAGTAGACAAAGCATCCTTAAATTCTCAGTATGCCATAAGTCTATGTACTAATGTAGTGACTTTATTCTACCCCAAAATCACATGTTTTCCTATGAATTATTTCATTTTACATTTATAAAAGCATTTGAGAATCTAGAAAGAAATGCTGGGGCAATGGGAATATGGTAGAAATCATTTTGCTTTAGTAATTTTATCCAACTGCTATTTTCTTGGATCAAAATGGAAGATTGAAGGCAGTGTAGGAAATCTTTCCCGTTGGTATTGCTGAACTGTCTCAATGGTATTTTCCCAAATTGAAGGCTTTGGGTAAAAAGCTTCTTACACATCTCCATTATCCTCTAAATCATAGCTCCTGTAGTTGGTAGAAGAAATGGAACATTCCTCCACATGAAATCTTGGTTCATGAGTAGCAGCCTCAAAGCATGATGTAAGCTTTATTCTTCCATGGCTGGGCCCAGATGAAGAAAAGAAAGAAACTGCAAGTCCTGAAGATTTTATTGTACATTTTACATTCCCAAGGCTAGATGTTTGCCTGAGTTCCTGTGAGCATAATAATCCAGGATGTGTTAAGTTCATATGTAATACTCAAAGTGTTGGCTCTCAAATGAATTCTGATTTAATTAAGCTTCTCTAATTGTCTGTTCTTTCTCCCCTCCTCATCTCCTCTCTGTCTGCAGGTGGTACAGAATGGTGTTCCTTTCCTCATCAAGCATTTGAAGGATGCAGCCCACAATGATGCCATTCTGAACATTCTTATAGAGATAGCCAGTTATGAGCCGCTGGCTTTGACCAGTTTCCTTCCAATGCTGAAAGAGACCAGTGAGAAATTCCCCTACCTCATCGGACAAACGGCCAGGATCTACGGAGCTGTTGGGCGTGTGGATGAAGTGAGTTTGGCTTTTTCCTCTGTTTTCCTGAGTTCCTTAGGCACAGTGGCCTGCCAGAGCTCTAGAGTCCCCAAATTTCTTCTAAAACCTCTTTAGACCTTTTCGTGGCATCTGCCTCAAGGGATTGGAAGTGTGGAGGAGAAAAAGGAAGAGGGAGGGTTAAGATGAGGAGCCCCTAAGACTGATTCAAGACCACTTTAGAATAGTAACAACCCATAAACGGCTTCATCTCCTTTCTGGATGGAGCTCTACTTAGCCGCATGTGAGCACCGAGTTTCCTCTCAGAGGTGTGGACTCATGAGAGCCCGTAGCTTTCATGTCAGTAGGAGCCTGGGCTCTGTATGTTCTGAGCTCTCTGGATCATGTGACTCAGGACAGTGAAGTAAATGTTTGTGGATGTCAAAGTTCCAGCCTAAATATTTGCATAATGGAATCGTTCAGCAAGAACAGCAGGATTCTGTCAGAGCCTTAGGGATTAAGCATGTAAGAAAGCTTCTGGGAATTTGAATATGTACATACACACATACACACACACACACACACACACACACACACACACACACACAAATACGTTTCCTCTCTAATGACTTTTTTATGTAGGGGGTTAGGATTTTAAGTATTCTTAAACAAAAGCAAATATATAATTGACAGAAGCTTTTCATTTAGTTTACTTGTATGCAATTAGACAAGGATAACACTGCTAAGATTTTAAAAGGAAATGTCATAGATCACTAAATTCAGTCCCCTAAAGCACAATTAAAAATCAAGAAGGTTAGCTAGGTATGATAGCTCACACCTATAATTCCAGCTACTTGGGAAGCAGAGATGGGAGGATTGAGATCCTATAGTAACAAACAAGACAGACATGATACATGGCTACAATCCCAGTCCAAGAGGATCACAGTCGAATGCCAGGCCCAGGTAAAATGTAGGAGACTTTATCTGAAAAAAATAGCTAAAATCCCAGAGGGAAAAAGTGGCCAAGCATCTTCTAGCAAACATAGGCCTGGAGCCTCAAACCCTGGTACTGCCAAAAGGGTACCATGCCAGCAATGGTAGTAAATGCCTGCAATCCCACACGCAATGGGATTGAGGCAGGAGGACTGTGAGCATAAGACCAACCTGGGACACATGACAAGACCCTGTGTCAAAGAAAGACAAGCAAACCAACCAACAAAACCCAGGCAGGTGACATGACTTACCCAGACAAGGACAGCTGGAGCTAAATCACTACTATACTTCACATGCACCTTCAGACTTGGTCTGAAACCCACATCTGTGGTGCTATTTCTCTTCTTCTGACTGAGTTGTGTTCAGCCCTGTGGTTCCCAGGGTTCCACCTGATGGAAGGTCTTGTCCAGCTCCCAGAAGGAGGTGGGGAGCCCAGTTCCCACACAGCCTAAGACTGTCATGTGATATGGGTCTCAACGGCATCATGTGACGTGGGTCTCACAGGGCACAGCTGCTCAGCAGAACCCCTTTCTACCTCTGCTGTGGGGAACCCCTGCCATATGCCCTGGCTGCTTCCTGGACCTGATTCCCCTGTTGGTATCTTTATTGCCAAGGAGGCTGGTGTAAGCTAACAGCTGCCTGACTCAAACAGCTGGCATTTCAGATTTTTGCAAGGAGAAAAAAAAAAAATCAGTGTCCGTGATGTATGTATCTCCTTTTGTTGCAAACACATTGATGATTCACTGAGGTGTGTGAAAGCTCTGGGAGTGACTAAATGCCCACTGCCCACTGCAGTCTACCCACAGCAGCTGCACTGCTGTAGGCTCACCCGAACGCAGGCAAAGCTCCGAGAGCAGTGTGGTACTGACAGCATGCATGTGGCTCCCAGCCGATGCACAGCAAGGAGAGTTGGACTGACATAGCCTGAGGAGTTCAGTCCTCCCTCTGTGTTCTCAGGAGATTGGTACCAGCACCCCAGAGGGTGCCCAGATCTGCAAGTGCTTAAATACCTTGCATAAAATGGTACAGTATTTACATCAAACCTTTACCTACTTCCTATTTACTTTAAGCCCTCTCCAGATGGCTTGTGACACCTAATGCAATATGAATGCTACACTATTGACGTAGCACTGTAGAACAGGTTTGGCTGAGAGCAATGCACAAAGCCCTAAGCAACAGTGCTTTAAACAATTACAGCATCTGTTTCTCTCAAGTGTTATGTCTAGAAGGCAGTCAGTTCAGAGCTCAGGCTCTTTCTATGTAGTTGCTCTCCCAGCTACAAAAACACTCAGAACATATGGCAACCATGACAAGATGGTCCAAGTCAGCTACCCTGTCCACCCATCAGGTCAGCATCTCAACCAGCAGGATTGGGGAAGAAGAGAGTGACTCTTCTAGACAGACATGCACAATCCTTCACTTGCATCCCACTGGCTAACTAGAGCAAAGATGAATATCTAGCTGCAAGGGAGGCGGGAATGTCTCATCTCCATTCAGTTGGCCATAGCTCAGATAATCAAGAGAGATGGGCAGAAAGAATGAGGACAAGCAATACTTGCAGGTCAAATCATTTCACTGGGTCTTTCTCCCCTCAAAAGTGATGGCTTTACATGGGATGACCTCTCTTCTGGCTCTTATTTTGATTCTGTCATTCCATTTCATTTAGGATCAGTCTAATAAAATGACCTGTGCTCAGAAGTACAAAATTACTTCTCTACTCAGAAGCAATGCCCCCCTGGCCCTTATTTCTGCTTTATTTAAGTGAACATGCTCAACTATATAAAGAAAATGTTGTGAAACTATATGAAAAGGCCAAAACCCTGGGGAGGGGGAGTATGTTTCTATTCAGCCCATCTAGATTCTCTCAGATTCTCTCTAGAAACAAGAGTTTCTGAGGTATGCTGAGAGTTGGGCATAAGTGAAGTCCATTATGGGATCCTGGATATCCATGGAAGATGAAATGATAATAGAGAAAGGGGCAGGAGCTTTGTCCTAAAAACCCCACCACAGTCTCTGTGGGGACCCTGGGACGGGAGGAGGCAATATGAGACATGGTGTTCTCAGAGTGTGGGATGAGAAACGGGCCCTAGTGAGCTCAGGCCCTCTCTTCTCTCCTAAACCATCTTTGTTGAAAGCTAACTTGACTTACAGTCTGTCTCTTTGACACCTGAGTACATTTCAGTTATGTTCAGAGCTCTAAAGAATCAGCTACTTTTCCTACGACGATTTAAAAGATTTTAGAAATACAAAATGATCATTTTGACTTTGGGAAACTCACTCCAATTTGTAAAATATATATGATCTGGGGCTGATTGCTACCTGCTGACTGGCTTGTAGAAACCCCCACAGTTTGGTCCTTAAGAAAATATGGGACCATCAGTCCAGAGATAGCCACAGGGCAGACTCAGCCTGGAAAGTTATTAATTGGCTTATGTCTTACCTTCTGTGCTTGCCTGAGCCTGGCATAAGAATTGCAGGTCTGGCTCCAAGAACCAGACTGGGTGTGATTGTCTTTCAAATCAAGGCCCATCTGGGTGGGCAAATGGTTTCCGACAGCTTGGTAATGGAACCAGAATTTTTTCTTCTGTTTTGCTCAGCAGAACAAAGCTGTAGTCATACATCCTTATTTTTCTCTACCCTCCCCAAAGGAGCTCAGTGACTTTCCTTGCACAAATTTAAATAGAGCCATGATTAATATAGCTGGGAGGATCTTGTGTCACTGAAGGAGATTCTATAATAACCCATAGGCCTCATCCGAGCCTGTGCTTGTATCGAAGGCTCATCTTCTGGGTGGCAAGTGCAGCAGGAAGGATCCATGGACCATGCTGGACTGGGCTACCCCACCCTTGAGATGCTCTTTTCTGCCCTGAGAAGGTCACTGTGAAGGTCACATTTAGTTCACCGTCTCTCTAGGATTTACTCTACTCCTGTGGGATGCTCTGCTGAGGCAAATTCACAAAATAAGAACTAGTACTTTATTAGACATATCCCCCAAATAGCAAAAACCCAGGAGTGCCTGTTTTCTTTCTCAAATGAGAAGGTTGCCATGGAGAGCTCTCAGCCAACAGCAGAAATAAGCTTGGTAATTGCTCGGGGTCCCTCTCACTGTCACCCCCAGAGAACTCACAGTCAGCACTGGGCGGTACCTATGCCATGTGCTGACAGCAGCACAGCGACAGTGAGCCAGTGAGCTGAGCTGTGCAGATGATTGGGGGTGGGGGTGGGCAGGGGGAAGCATCTCCCAGCCAGAAGCGTGGGGTCACGCCCTTATTTTTCTTTTCTGTGCCATGCCTTCAGTTCTGGTTTTTGCTAGTTGTTTGGACATAAGAGTCCTGCACACTTTTCTGCCTTCGAATGGTTTCAAACCGTGATTCTCAGATCTCAGATCCCTGCATAGCTAGGGTTATAGGCTTGAGCCACTGGCACCCCACTTCTGACTAGGTTTTAGCATTTTTGTTTGTTGATGTCTCCCCTCGCTGCCTGGACTCTCTCCCCTCACTGCACAAGGCCTTGGCCCACACAATAGGTTGTGGTAATCAAACTGGTCTTCTTCCTATCAAATAGGCCAACGTGGAAAAGACTCTTTAGAAGGATTTGATTTTTATTTTTTAGAGGCTATCTTGAATTTATACGATCTGTCCCTCTACCTAAGTCTCAAATGAGTGCACTGAAACTGTTTTAGGTCAACAGCTCCATCCTCATTAGGGCCTGATCTATTAGAAGTCAGAAACCAGCAAGTATCGAGTGCTCTGTTTTTGAGCTGGAAGCCAGACGTTGAGCCCACAGCCGTACAGAGTGGAAACGAGGGTTGGCAGCATCAAAGTGCTTAGCAAATGCTCTCCTCGCACAGGCAAGGATGCTGCGGGCTGCTTGTGTTTCCTCAGCTGGAGACCACTGGGCTGCACCTGTGAAGAATCAAATGGCGCGTCCCTGGCGCCAGCACTGCCGTCGCAGGCGTTAAATCCTGTGCCCTCTCCCTTGTTATTCTAACTGGCTGGAATATGCTGGCCCAGCACATGGGTGTATTTATTACATCCTCTCTGGGCTCA